TGGGTATGATCTCCCTGTAATAATATGGATGACAATGTTGGTATTAGCTTCCATGGCTGAGCACTGAGCCAGCGTTCATTGTCTCCTTACTGCAACATGTGGGCTCCATACTACTAGCTCCCTGCTACTGGCTCCATTTTAAACATGAAGAAATGGAGGCTGAGAGAGGTGAAGTGACTTGCCCAAAGTCACACAATTGGTAAGTGGCTACAATTTAAGCCCAAGTCTTTTGCCCCTGTGGTCTGTGCCCATAACCAGATTCTGTATACCTCTGAACTCCATTTTCCTTGGGGCCTGGAGTCTTGGGACTGACACAGGTTCAAACCTAGGTTGTTCCTGGTCACATTCATCCTTCAGATTCCTGAAGTTGTCCCCTCAATCCAGAGTGACAGCCATGTATACATAGGCAGTCTAATGGGAATAATAATGCAGAGTTATTGAAGATGGAATACAAGCAGAGCACTCATTAAGGTGCCTGGCACATGGTGAACACACAGTGTATGGCAGTAGTTGTTGTTATAGACATGACGTTGGCTTCCTGTGGAAATGTGGGGGTCCATGTGCTCAGGGGAAAGGGAAGCTAGAGGAAGTCAGTGCTAACAGGACACAGCATCCTGTCCCTGGTGACCTGTTAAGGCTGCAGCCAAAAGAAAAATAAAACTTAGGGGCATGGTTGTTGTCTCTGAGGGGCTACCCTGGGGCAGAGGGAACAGATGTGGTCTGTGGGGGCCTCAGAGGACAAAGCCAGTGGGGAGAAGTTCCGAGAGGGAGGCTGATTTTTAAATACCAAAGAAGGAAAGCATTGGCTTAAGTGGTGTTGAATCCTCCAAACTGGAGGTGAGTGAATAGAGACTGGAAGCGGGCCAGCGTCGGTGTTGCAGAAGGCATTTGAATGGCTGCATGGCATGATTCCTGAGGTCTCGGACAGGAGTGTTACAAGAAGGCTGATTTTGACCCTGACTGAGCAAGTGTTTTCTGGCAGAGCTGTCTAAAGATGCATCTCACTGCTTCAGGGAATGGTAGTGAGGCTCATGTCTTGGGGAGTGTTTAGGCAGAAGCTGGATAGTCACTGGACAGGGATGTTGTTGAAGGCATTAGTGTATCAGATAGCAGGCTGGATTAGATGACCCCTTAGTGAGAGGTGACATGGCACTGGAGAAAAAGAGGGGGCCTGTGTCTGAAGTCTGATCCAGGCTCTGACATTTGTCAGTTGGGCAATCTTGGGCAAGTGTTTTCACCTCTCTGTGTTCTGGTTTCCTCACCTGTAAAATGAACATCATAATTCCTACCCTCCTTGCTGTCTAGGATTGTAGCAAAGGGTCGGAGATACGCAAGCTGTAAAGAGGCTTTGTGAACTCTGAAGCTGCTGTGAATGACTCGTTTGACTCACTTGACCCTGTTGGGGGACAGGAAGAGTGGGTTTTGGATCATAATCCGCAAAAACACAATCCCAAACACCGTAATCCTGAAAGCCGAATTCTGGAGATGGGATTAGTGGCGGTTTTGGTTGTGCACAGAGTAGTTACATTATGTTAGCTGCATCACATTAGGTGGAACTATTACCTTGCTGTTGTCTTTATTTGCCTCTGGTGGAAAATTCAGATGAGTGGTTTGGCCAAGCAATATTGCAGTTATGAAAACTTCCGTTTAAGAATGTTTCCTTGGCCTGCATTGACATTCCTTCCAGCTGATGACATTCCAGGAGCTTTTAATGAATTAAAGCCACATTTGCCTGAAGAAGCCAGTGAAGTTATTGACTGGTTTGAAAACAATTATTTGCATGGTAGGATAAGAAGACAGCCAATGGTGTTACTGTTTGATCGCCATTATCGTTTCCACCAAATTTGTGGTCCGTATATGCATGCTTGTGGAATGGATTTTGGAGTACCCAAAACAACATAGAAGCAGGGCTCAAAAGATTGGAAAATTTAATTGAAAATGCTAATGTCAGTGTATATTGCATCATAGAAAGATTTCAAAAAGAGCAGTGCCATATAGAAAATGCATGTGAGTGTATTTTCCAAGGAGAGCCATGTCCAAAAAAAAAAAAAAAATCAGCTATTTGTCATGATGCAAGGCTTTAAAATATAGTTAATGATCATGAAAGTCAGCCAGTCTGTGCAAATTGCCCATAGTCTATCCCTATAATGCACTTTTCAATATGTCAAATTTTCTTTTTAGTTTTTTAATTTTTTTTTTTTTTAGTTTTTCCACCACTGTTTAAAATTGTCAGCATTATTTTTTACAATTCACTACCCTTCATATCTCATCTTTGCATCATTTCCAATACTGGAAGTATAAATTTTGTAGAAACTTTCAGAGTTCTAATTTGTTTTATGTGGTTTTTACAAATTTGACTCCATGAAAGTACAATATTACAATGTTGGCTTGTGTGTAAGCATTGTGCACCTATGTAAAAACACTGAAACTCCCTCAATGAAGGAAAATATGTCCTTTTTGTACATCTGCACTTGTGAAAACAACATTTCTTGATATCTTGGCCCTTTGGGTGACTGCATATTTGGTGGTGACCCCCCATGGTTTTTTTTGATCTTATCAAAGACTTAGGATGTTCATCATGGTATTTCAGATGACTGCCGTTATAAGTCTGAGTGCCTACAACTACTAACTATACTGGTATGCATTTATACATTTCTATTTGCTTTATAAATATAGTTCATCTGCTCATAACTGTCATACTTACATAACTGTTATTAGTATACCTTGGTATTTATGCTTGCAAAAATATGTATATTGTTGCCCATTTTATTGTGTAAAGTGGCCTATGTGTTTTTATATTTCTCAAATAAATCCTCTTTTAAAGATGTAAATAAATATCTATTCAAGAATTTTAAAATTATTTTTCCCAGAATTATGTTTTTGGGATTTTGATCCTTCAGGATTTCAACATTTGGGATTATGGTATTCAAGGTTGTCTCTTCCGGGATTATGATCTGCTCCTGAAAAGGGGTATGGAAAAAGATGGGTGGAAAGGAAGGAGAGAGAGGAGGAAGGAGGATGTGTCTGGCCTACAGCTGGGTGCTGGGTTGGAAAAGAAAGGAGTTTGTAGCAGATGGTCTTCCCCTCTTAGCTCTGCAGCCATAGTTAGAGTTTCTAGAAGAGAACTTTCTACAACATTGGAAATGTTCTATATTTGTGTTGTCCAATCATTAGCCAGTAGCTACACATGAGGCTATTGAGGCCTTCATGGCTAGTGTGACTGAGAAACTATATTTTAACTTTTATTTAGTTTTTAAATTTTAATTTAATTTTTTTTTTAATTTTTTGAGATGGAGTCACCCAGACTGGAGCACAGTGGCATGATCTTGGCTCACTGCAACCTCTGCCTCCTGGGTTCAAGCAATTCTGTCTCAGCTTCCCGAGTAGTTGGGACTACAGGTGCATGCCACCATGGCCTGCTAATTTTTGTATTTTTAGTAGAAACGGGTTTCCACCATATTGATCAGGCTGGTCTCGAACTTCTGACCTCAGGTAATCCATCCACCTTGGCCTCCCAAAGTGCTGGGATTACAGACGTGAGCCACCATGCCTGGCCCAATTAGTTTAAATTTAAATAGCCACATGTAGCTGGTGGGTACCATATTGGACAACTCAGCTCTAGAGGAGGTGGCAGGAGCCTCCCTTCTTTCCACCTTTCCTATCCTCCTTTCTTAGCAGAAGTTGTTGACTTATGCTGTGCTGCGCACTGTGGAGGCCACCAAGATGAACAAAACATGGTCCCAGCTCCTGAGGGACCCCGGCTCATTCTGTGAGACAGATAGACCAGCCTGTGGATAGAAACTACAACCCAAGGGGACGCATGCAGCCCTCCAGCTGTGTGGGAGTAGAAGGAGTAAGCTACTCACTCAGTTGGGGCCACAAAGGCTATACTGTGAAGGATGAGTTAGGAGGCCTGGGTGGGAGAAAGTCTTTTTGATAAGGGAACAGTAGAGCCAAAGACTTGAAGGCAAGAAAGAGCATAGAGTGTTTGGAGAATGCAGGTTGAGGTGAGGCTGGGGGAATCAAATCCCACACTCCCGTCCCTATCACCAAGGAATGGCTGGCAAGCCGACGGAGCGAAGAGCTTTAAGGGCAGTCCTAGTGAGGGTCTTGTTCACCCAACCTGCCTCACAACATTCAGGACATGTAAAGGGGATGGCGCTGGGGACCCCCTCCCTCCACACCCAACTCACAGAGTCTTGCCTCCCCGCCTTTCCTGCACAGAAGGGCTCGGGGCCCTGAGATCCTCCTTTGGCAAAATCCCCAAGAATTCTCCCTCTGACAACACACCCTTCTTTTCTTCAGCCTTCTGACCGAAAACTTAGTTCTGACTCATGCCTTGGCATTCCTGGGCTGGGCTGTCTCCTGGTTTTACCAGTGCTGGGCTGACAGCTGGACTGACGTCCTAACTGGTGTTCCTGAATTTAGTCCCACCTCACTTTAGTCCACCCCCTGACAGCAGTCCAGAGAATCTTTCTCAAAGTGACTAGAAGTACAAATGTCGACACCTGAAGTTTGGTTCTAGACTTGGTGTGTGGATGTCTTATGATCACCATTCTCTTGCAGAGACTAGGGGAAGAAAACTTCCTGCCTGAGAATTTGATGTGGCCTAAGTTTAAGGAAAGCTTTGGCCAGGGTAACCATTGGATGTAGTGCAGTGCACATTATGGGCTACCTGCCAGTTCTCTTTTCCTTTTGTTCTCTCCTAACAGAACTCTAGTGTAATTGAGGTAACCCCATCATACACTTCTAGACACAGCCAGCTGCCCCTGGAGGTCTCTGACCCCACCCCTAACTTCAGAGGAGTGCTTGATTGGTCTAAGGAAAATCCCATTTCGCTTGCCAGTGTCTCTGTCTCAACTCACTGATTGAGGAAAGCCATGAGATCCGATTTTGGCCAATGAAACACAGGAAATACCTGCTGAGGACTTTGGGGAAGATTTCCTTGCCTTACTCTTGAGAGGCAGACTTAGTAAGAAATGGTTCCTCTGTTTCCTCAGATTGACATCATGTGGAAGATTCCATATGGATGTGATATCCGAAATTGGTGTGTCCTTGCTTCTAGGCAGAGTAAGGAGCTTCGAAGAACCTGAAGACACCACTGAAGCCCTGAATCAACCTACCCTGAAGCCCATCCCAACTCCACACTTTCTGTTTTGTGACATAATACATTTCTGTTATTTGAGGCTGAATGTTTCTTAACCAATGAGGTACAGTGGTTGGGACTCTTTCCATTTTAAGTGATAACAACACAATTCCAACTGGCATGAGCAAAAAGGGGTACATATAAGATGGATATCCATGTGGGCGGGAGAATCTGTGCAGATTATGTGCATTTGTAAAAATGTCTTTCTTCTGGTAGTTTAGAGTCTACACTGGCTTTGAGAATTATTCTTTAGCTTTGAAAGTATGTGTGTGTTCCAAATATTATCATTTGGGAGGTGGTGGGAAGAACCAGTGGCATTTTTGTTTCATTTTGGTGAAGACACATAGAAGAGGACTGTCTTTTGAGCACCCAAGTTCACCTCATGTTGTTCTGCTGAGGCCCTGCATGACTATTCTAGACTTGGTCTTTGGGAAATTCCTGTTGAGTGTATTGTGTGCGATGGATTTCTCTGACTTTGAGTTAGTCTCATTCCTGTGAGGGCTCACCTGGTGAGGGACAGGCAAAGGGATTTTTCTCACAGAGAAGGAAAAGCAAAGTGGTCTTCAAGACAAGAAACATGAGAAAATCACTCATGGAGGGTTTATATTTCTTTGTTTTTGTCCCTTGGAAGAGTTATATTTGGAATCCAGTTTTATGGCTGGAATTTTCTGATGTTCTCTGATCTTCAGTGGAGGCTGATAGACCTATACGGCCTGGGAGGTGGGTTGTGGGGTGTTGAGTATGGGCCGGGGGCAGGGACTGGGCTTTTCAACAGCTCCTTAATGGTGAGGCCCTGCAGTGCTGATTATATCATACAGTCGATGACCAGAGCAAAGCAAATGGAAACCCAACGTGGAGCTGGGAGTGGTAGGCAACTGGGACCCTTGGAAATCCATTCCTCAGCCTTGAATGGGCCTCCAAATATCTCCCGTTTGGGCCTCAATGCCAAGTTAGGATGGAACTTTATGAGAGTGGCCCAAGATCTAAGAAGATACACTCCCCACTCAGTGACTCCCCTGCCCTCTTGGGTCCTTCCTAAGCCATTCCCTGGGGATGGGGCCCCACTTCCCCTGTGAGGTCTGAGCTGGGGCCCGAGGTGCTTGCAGATGGGGGTGTCTGTCCTCTGCAAGGAGCAGCGAAGCCTATTACCTCCTCCCGTGTGTTGGGAGGCTTAGAGACTTAGTGCAGCTGTTGAGAAATAAAGCTATTTAAGTGGTGAGCTTTATATTTTGATCCACAAGCCTATCTGTTTCCAAAATTCCCCTGTAGACATCATTAAGCAAAGCCTGGCAGATTTTGTTGTTGCTTTTTTCTTTCCTCCAAAAGCCTGCTAAAATTGCTTGGTTAGCTGTGATAAGAGAAGCCATTTTCTTCTGTGTTGCTGTGCTCTGTTCTCCTCTCTCCACTGAAGCCACCGGCTTGGAAACTGTCTGGGTGCAAGGGGAGGGGACTGCCTCTTAATTTCCCTGCCTTAGCCTGGCATTCAGGGCTCTTTTACAAGAACGGACCCTAATTGGCCTTCGCAGACTTAGCTCCAGCTACTCCTCGGCGTATACTCTTCTTTAAAAAAATGAAACATTGGCAAATCTACTTTTAAAATCCAGGGACCCATAATGACCTCCTCTTTTCCCTCTCTGTTTTATTCCCTCTGCCTAAAATGCCCTTTGTTCCCTTCCCTATCCCAACTTCACCTCTACATGCCCAAAGTCTACCTAGTTTTAAAGTGCAGGGCAAATGCCGCCTATAGCACAAAACCTTGCCACAGCCTTGGTTAGAAGTCACCAGAGAAACCTATGAGAGGAGATCATAATCCCCGCCTCACAGTGTTGCTGAGCAGAGTAGACACAGTAGGGAAAGTGCCTGGCACATGGTGGTAGCTTACTAACAGGGAGCTTCCCTTTTTCCCTTCTTTGGAGAGTGGTTTGCCCAATAACATACTTGGCCATAACCCACTGGAGCTCCCTCCACATTCTGCCTCTAAGGATCATGGGCCAGTACGCCTCAGGCTAGCCGGGGAAGCTTGCCTTTATCTCCTTCTTGTGTGGTTCCAAGTCTCACACACTGGCCATTCTGCCCCTGAGTGCTCACCATTACTTTCCTTTGCCCCTCCCCTTTTCTGGGCTCTTGATAGAAATAAAGTGGCTGGTCCACCAGCTGTTCAAGTTCTGGGTGATCTCATCCAGCTTGGGAAGGGGATGAAGGTCTGAGAAGGCTTCTTGGAGGACCTCGATGGTGAAGCTCTATCAACCGGAGTGAACATTATTAAGCAAAGACAAGGAAAACTTGAGGTCTGTCTGGGAAGGGGCAGGGCACTGAATGTGGCTGGGGTATTGAGTATGTGATGGAAAATGGCGAGAGATGAGGCTGGGAGGTTAGGGTGGTGCCGGATCATGAGGGAACTGGAGATCTGACTTTGCCCTGAAACAAAGGAATACCCGAAGGTCTTGGTGCAAGGGAATGACGGTGTCCAAGGTATGTTCTGGAAGAGCACTCTGAGGTAGCTTGGAGGATGGGCTGGGGGAGGTGAGACTCGATGCAGGAGATCTAGGCAATAGTAAAGAGCCAGGGAAGAAGGGCCTAGAAAATATAGATTTTAGAACGCAGGATGGACAGGGGCCTCCACCCTAAGGGCCTGGACTCTCCTTTGGGCCTCTCAGCTTCCCAGACTCACACAGGTGGGAAACAGGAAGGTGGGCTCTCTCTGTCCCTCTCTATTCTGGTCCCACCTTGGCCCCCAGTTACAGCCTTTGTAGCTCCATTGCTGGTATCATTAACCTCTTCTGTGCTGAACTCAACTTTCCCACTTCAAACTAATCTCGTCTGAATGACTGCAATAGCCTCCTAACTGCTCTCTCTGCCTCCATTCTTACCCCAACCCTCTCATACCCACCCAGCAGCCAGGCAGGTCCTGTGAAAGAAGAAGTTAAATCACGCCACCTCTTTGATCAAAATTCCCCAGTGTCAATTCATCTTACCCCGAGGAAAAGCCAAGTCCCCACTGTGCCCTCTAGGCTCCACCTACCTGACCTCTGACCTCTCTTCCCTCCCTGCCCACTACCTGTCTGAGGTCACCCACTCCTGCTCCCTCACCCCAACCCCGCACAGAGCCTCCATCCTCCTGCCTCGGGGCCTTGCGCCTGATGTTCGTTCTGCCTGAAACACTCTTCCCTGTGGGTGCCTTTGGCTCCTTCCTTCCCACCTTCATGTCCTGTGCAGGTGGCACCTTCTCCAAGAAGCCCTCTTCGAGCATCCTGTCAGTCATAGCCACCTGGCCCTGCTCGCCCTCGGGAGCCTTCCTTCCTTTATTCTTTCCCTACACCTGTCACCTTCTGATATAATGCATAATTGTCTCATTTGTTATGTTTGTTTTCTGTCTCTCCACTAGAAAGTAACAGAATTATGTCTGTTTTCTGAGGTCTCCCCCAGTGCCCAGAACATAGTAGGCATTCGGTAAACATCTGTAGAATGAATGAATGAGGAATGAATGAATGATTCCTGACTGCCCTCAAGTCCAAACACCACTGAGAGCTCTCCCAAGTGCTGCACTGTCCTGGCCCAGTCTCTCCTTGTCCTATCCACAGCTCTACACTGACCTCAGCTCCTCTGGTCACTGTCAGCTTCCCTGGCCCCTGCCCCTCCTCACTCCTTAGCTGCCGACTGAACAGTCAGAGTGGGGATGAGGAAGCCATGAAGATGTAAAAGGAAGGGTATGCAAACCCTATGGGATCTGCTCTCAAGGACCCCTGGGAGAGAGTCCAAACTCCTTGACATGTGTCACAGGGCTCCTGCCTCCGTCTGCTGCCAGTCCGTGTACCACTCCTCCCTGCACCACTTCTCCCTGCAGCCTGCGCTCCTGGTGTCTTTCTGTTCCTCAAATGGCGCATCTATCGTGTTGTGTTCCTCGAGCCCTTTGGACTCCAGACTCCATGCTGTTCCCTCCTCCCTGACTTCTTGTCTGGCCAACTCCTAGCCAGCCTTCAGATTTCATCTAAATATCACTGTCTCTGGAAGACCTTCTCAATTCCTAGATAAAGTTCACACTCCCATGGGGCCCTGTCTCTCCCCTTGGGTTAAAGGCGTTATGCCTATAATTATTCTTCATTGCTTGTTCTCCCCACTGAGCTGTGAGTCCAGGAGGGAAGGCTTCAAGCCTGCTTACGTCTGTATGCTTAGAGCCTGGTCCAAAGCTTGTTAAAGAGAAAGGGTTCAAGAAGTCATTGCTGAATGAAAGAGTGAAGAGGATTTACCAAGGGCCATCCAAAAAGAAAGGAGAGGGAGGGGGAGAGAGAGAGAAAGAAATAAGGAAGAAAGTCCAGAAAGAACATAGGCTCTGGAATCCAAATGTTCTGGTTCCAATCCCAGCTCTGTCACTTACAAGCTGTGTGACCATGGATAAGTCACCTCCCCTCTCTGAGCCTCAATTTCTCATCTCTAAAATATAGAAAATAATATAGCTGTACCAGGAGTGTTGGAAGAATGACATGCAACAGTGGTCAGATGCTTGGTATTTGGGAAGATGCTGAATAAATGGTGTCTGTGTTACTGATGACACTATGAAACACTAGCAATCATCTCTCCCTATTCAGCTTTGACTCCAAAGTATGTCCAGGCCGATTGTCTTATTTTCTTCTTAGAGCAGCTCTTTGAGACAGAAGGGTAAGGGTGGAAACGGAGAGTAGAGAGATTAAGCAACTTGACCAAGATCACCTAGCATTGTTGGGCTAAGCTGATTCTGGACCAGGCAGCAGGAATCTGGTGTTCCTCTTCCAGGGCCCTGGCATGCTCTGCTGTGCATTTTGGCTATGTGAGCCCAAATCTTACTAGATTCTGAAGGGCAAACGTAGTGCCTGATTCACTACAGAATCCCCAGTTCCCAGTGCAGTCTGACAGAGGGCAAGTCCATGGGGAATGGTTGTCAAGTTGAGTAAGTAAGTACAAAGCACAGGGGTTTATTCACAACTCTCAGCTCACGTAACTCCCTCTGGCTGGTCAGATCAGAGTACAACCCCATGACTATTTCCCACTGGCCCCTTTTCATAGGGCCAGAGGCAGGCTCCAGAGAGGCAGAGGGTGCCCTATGAGGGAGCAGCCATGGGTGTCATTGGAGCATGTCCCTGGCTCCACTGAGAGACATGTCAAGTGTGCCCTGGAGCCCTGGCCCCTCTTAGCAGCTCCAGCCATCTGCCCTTCTTAGCAGCCCCAGCCATCTCTGCTTCCCAGCCCCTGCTTGGATGTCCACTCACCTGTGACAGTCGGGTCAGGAGCAGGGCTGGGGAGGGCACTGTGTGAATCCAGGCACCCTGGGGTCCCCATGCTTGGCTCCAGCCAGGGGATCTGGGACTAGAATGCCATCTCTGAGCCTCTCGGGCAGCAGCAGGGCAGCCGGGCCTAGACTTCTGGGAGACATTCCAGCTTCAGCTCCCCCAGGCAGGCAGAACGCTGGGCTTGGAAACTCTTCTCCTAGTCACTCTCTAGGGGAATTTAATTTACAAGGACTCAGAGGACTGGAAGTATTTCTTATTTTGTCAGTTCCAAGTACTCCCTGCCTTAGATCCTTTTGAATCTAAGGCATACAGCAGAATGAGAAAAGCTCGATGGAAAGAGTGAGAGAACT